GTAGGAGGATTACTTGGGGTTAAAATCTCAAATGTTGATTGGGCTGCTCATGGTGATCACTTTCTTGTTTTCTCTCATGGTTCGGTTTCAATAACTCTTTGATTAACGATTTAGTTTGGAGAATGGCCTGGTACTCCATAATTTGGACAATATGGATATCAAGGAATGAAGTTGTTTTTAAAGGGAAGCAATGGGTGGTTGATCATGTTTTTGAACTCATCAATGTCAGAGTGGTTTGGTGGTGCAACACCAAATGGCTTGAACTTAATCTAAGTATTAAAGACTTAATTCGATTCTTTACTGAAGGGGCGAACCCAACTACAAAAAGTAAACCCAAGCCTCAAGAGGGATGGTTCAAGTTCAACATAGATGGAGCTTCTCGAGGAAACCCTAGTGTATTTGTCATCGGTGGTATTCTACATGACAAAAAAGGTGACAACTTCATCCTCTTCTCTAAATCAATTGGATTTTTTGATTCTAACTGTGCTAAGCTCACTATTGTCAAAGACACTACCTTGCATTTTGCTTCTTCTGATTGGAGTGCTTCCCACAATTTGTTGCTTGAATGTGTCTCCCTTAATGTTGTTAAATGGATCCTTAATCCCCACAATGTCCCTTGAAGATTAAGAAAACTGGTCATGTAGATTATGAAAGCTCTTGACCATGTTCAGCAATGGCAAATATGATACGTTCCACGTTCCTCAAATGGCAAGGTTGATGCTTTACCTAAAAGCAGGGGCAGAGCGTCCTTTTGTAATGAGGGGGCCATGGCCCCCAAAAATTTTTGAAATTAAATATATATAATATATTTTTAATGGTTTTTTAAAATAATTTTTATTAAATAATTAATAAAATTAAAAAAATGCTAAAATGATTTTACAAACTCTATTCAATTTTACTCAAATTTTTAAATTTTTTTGAATTTTTAAGTTTCTCCACCCATCTTTCCTTCTTTTCTTTAATGTTCTTGTATTGTGAAATTATAAAAAGGTAAAGTTTTTATTTAATTTTTTCTATTTATATTATTATTATTTATGTTTTTTAATTATATTTTATTTGCTCATATATTTTAAGTTTCTATAGATTTCTTTTTTAAATTTATACGAATCATCAATCATATTTTTTTTTTGTTATATAGGTTTTATCTCCTATTTGTCATGGTTTTTTTTTCTATTATGTGGATTTTATTTTTAATGATTTTAATTTTTAAAAATTAAAAAATTATTGTATATGTAATTCTCAAATATAAGTTCTAGTGTTGCATTATTGGTTGTTGTTTAAAATTTTACTAATATATTATTTTTTATTAATTCTAATTATATAAAAAAATTATCTCTAGTATATGCTTTTAATGTACTTTATATTTTATATTTAGTTGAAAGGAAATTATCTTGAATATAAAAAGAAATTATTAATCCTGTGTATCGTATTTAACTATTTCTATTTTATGCATTATAGTTTAATATTTGGTGTTATAAACTTGAATATAATAAAATAAAAATATTGATGTTTACTACATTAATTTTTTAGTTGATTATATTGAGAAAGACAAGATTTCGAAACAAAATAAATGATAAGTTTCTTATAAATAATTTAATTATTCATATTAAAAAAGATATTGCTATCGTCAAATAAAACTTTTCTAAAGCACTATTATAAGTTTTTTTCTTTTTGTTTCTTTTGATTTACATGTTATATAAAATTATTGTCTATTATAAATCTTTTGATTATTAATGATTAAGTTCAATATATTAGTTTTAAAAATTTTTAATTTTATTCTTCTTAACCTTTGGCCTTTCTAATAAAAATTGACTAGCTCCGCCCCTACCTAAAAGTGATGTGCGATGATCCCATGAATTGCAGTAGATAAACGCTGAGGCTATAGGCAACCTAAGGAACAATTTATCTATGGTTGTCATGGATACCGTTGCTGTAGATTCCTAAGGTGAGACTGCTGATTTTCAGGTTCTCAAATGCTGCTGTATTCTATTTTTTTTTTTTGGCTGCTGTGTAGCCTACTGGAATGTTTGTCTTGGCTACAATTTTTGCTTTCACCTGTGTATAGGAAGGTATTGGGATGGTGGTACTGCTTGTGCAGATTTGATTTTTGTATAGGAGCGTTTTTTCTTTGAAGGGATCTGGTTTGTGGATTCCCTTTGCTCTAGGAAGCCTCTGGGTTCCTTTGGTTTGAAGTGCTTTTTGTATGGCTCCAAACCCTAGTACAGAACTTCCTTTTTCAAACGAATATTGTCTTTCAAAAAAAAATTATATATTTATCAAATCTAGGCCTAATTAACTCATTAATAAACAAGCATATTGAAATCTGCAAAACAGCAATTGCCTACGTTAAACTGAAGAAATTAACGACCACTTGTTAAAAATATTGCAATTAAGTTTGAAAATTAAAATGATATTTTCGTTTTGCATGATTTTCTAACAAAAAAAAACATTTGTATTTGCATGACTTTTATGCACAGTTAAATGCTGAATTCAGCAAATTTAGTCCAATGGTTTGCGTTGGCCCATACATCATGCAGACATGTGGGGCAAGCATGCATGGAGACTCTCAATAGTCAAAGTTTTAAGTTAGTATATTTATATATGGTCGATATCATGAGTTTTTGCCCTTGATTTGAAACAAGAATTTTCTATATGTTGGATCAGTTTTAACAAAGGTATGGTACATCGACGAAGCCCATTTGTGAAGGGAATGAAACTAGAGAAATGAATTTACCAACAGAGTTATAGTCCTCTGTTTCTGCCCACTTTTTATCAAATTGAGTCACATCTATCTTCCACGACCTTTGAGCCATTGACAAACAACCAGCGTACATTATTCTTGGACAAGGGACAATTGTTGTCCAAAGACTAGATTTATCCTACGTACACTTTTACGAAGAGGTAGTTCTTTGTTTCTGCACGTCAGGAATTCTGAGGGGAGAGAGTAGATTCAAGTCTTGAACCTTCTCCCGACTAGAACGAGATAACAGCTTATAATCCGTTAGGCAAAACTCTGGTTAGTAATCAATACGATATTTCGTCAATTTGCCACATGATTATAACAATATGTCCATGAGGGACCACAACTTAATAGTAGTAGTTACTAATGACTCTATCAAGTTAACAAAAAAATTTGACATATTTTTGCTTACATTACAATTTTAATGACAACTTGTGTTCTAATTTGTTAAACTAATTAACAATGCCCATGTGGTTCTGTGATCTTCTTTCTAACTCTATTAATTGGTCTTGTACATATTTGTAGTTAGTAGCATTAAGTACCTTTAAAAGTATTAATCTTAATTAATTAATTTCTTCAACTTCAGTGGAACAAATTGCACATTAATTAAAGTCTAAGTGCCCACAATTACCTAATTTTGTACTACATTTGTCCCAATTTTTTGTCCTCCTTTTCTAAAGATATTCCAAGTTATATATATATATATATATATATATATATATATATATATTTCGAACATCTAATATTAATTCTTACTTTCTATATTTTAAAATTATTTTTCATGGCTTTTTTTTACTTTTTGAAATTAAAAATCATGAAATATCAATTTTATAAAAAATTTTAAAATTTTAAAATTTCACATTAAAATATATTGAAATCAAAACTTTTTTTTTCGAATTTCGTGAAAGTCAATATAAATAAAAAAAAATAAAATACACTGACCTTCTCAATTTTTGATCATAATTATATATGGGTATGTTAATTTTTAAAATAAATACTCTGCCCCAAACATATAAATGACATTACTCTCTCAATATGAAATATCTATAATGCCCTTTTTTTCCTCCCTTTTCTTTCCTCTCAAGTCGGCCGGTGGCTCTCCCTTATATAAGCCAGTCACCTCGCAACTAGATTTGGCCATGGAATGTCAAAACTGGCCAGATCTCTCAGGGCTCCCTTGGGGAGCATTGCAGGCCATGGTGGTCGGTGGAAAGATTTTTCTTTTTTTTTTTTGCAAAGGAGAAAAATTATTATGATAATTTTTAAAATTAATGAAAAAAAAATTATTTTAAAAATATTACCACATCATCAAACTAACAAAAAATATTGATGGTTAATTAATCACATAACTTATGTGTCTAGTGAAAATATTTTTTTGAGATTGACAGTTCATTTTGAAAACTAATGGATTCGATCAAAAGTCGAGCGAGTTAATATATTTTACTCAAAAAAATGAAAATTTTTTATATAAAGAGTTGATGCGTCAAATTAATTGTACTAGTATTAAAATTATTAAGTTTTACAACATTCAAAATAGTTTTATCCTTAATGTATTTGATCATTAAATTTCTTAGTCTAAACATGCATATTATGAAAACTAATTTCATGACATTTGGATATTTATAATTACTCCGTCAAATTTTCATATTTAAACCTTGGTACAGACATGATTTACGTGAGGAAAATACTAAATTCAATAGATGAGTTGTATATATATTCGTGTGTACAAACAAATAAGAAAAGTGTTATTTTAATCCACTTTGGATTACCGGCTGCCCGGTTCCAGGAAATAATATAGCAATATATAATTTAATCCATTAAAATAACAATCATGCTACTATTAATCATAAATTATACATTGTCATACAAAAACAAAATCACATTACGTAATTTCTTAATGAAATCGTCCTAATCAATTCAACTCATCGTGGATGAACTACGTATGCAAATCTGAAGTTCTCAACCGTTGGATTGAAAATCAAATTGTAGGAAATGAAAAGAGCATGAACGTTGACTCAGGTGAGTTATCAACGGTGATTACATAATGATCCAAATTAATGAGCCAGTGTTGTTAATTTAGTCAAAGAAATCTGTTGGTTTGAATAATTTGATCAAGTCACAAATACTTCTTTGGTTTTTTTTTTCCATTTCTTTTATTTGGCTCTTACGCGTCTCGAAGTCAAAGTCATCAACTTGTCCCTTCTACGCTTCTTTCCTTTGCAACTTCTTTGATTTGTTTTTTATATATATGAAAATAAGGAAAAAAAATAAACAAAGAAAAGGACTGTTATGTTGATTGGAAAATCCTTGATATATTCAAAGCTTACTCCCCATCTGGCAGAAGCTGCATTCACATTTCCTCTCCCTTCTTTCCTTTTCGATCGGTATTGAAGTATATGTATTTGCTTCTTCTTTTCAAATATATTGTTCCTTGAGAAACTTCGTTCTATCAGCTCCAAGTTATCGAGTCTTGAATCTTGGTAGCATATTTTCGCAACTGAAGTAAAAACTTGGAAGCAAAAACATGGCTGGAGGAGGTGGCGGAAGGTCTTTGGAGGAAACACCGACATGGGCTGTTGCTGTAGTCTGTTTTGTTTTGGTTTTGATTTCAATAATCATTGAGCACATAATCCATATGATCGGAAAGGTACAAGCAATTTAGAGTTCTTTTTATGCTGATTTGATAAGGTCTTTTAATCAAAGTTTAAACTCCAAAATTAATCATTCTTGCACCCTTTTGTTTTCTTGACAGTGGCTAAGGAAGAAACATAAACGAGCACTTTTTGAAGCACTGGAAAAGGTTAAGTCAGGTAATATTAACCCATCATCAAATTATCATTCATTCTAAGGTATTAATGAACTTTAAACTTTAAGATAAAGCTGATTAATATTTTTATTGGGTTTTTTTCTTTCTTGGGTGTGTATCAGAGCTTATGTTGCTGGGATTTATATCCTTGCTCCTAACAGTAGGACAAGGTGTAATATCAGACATATGCATATCAGAGAAAGTTGGGTCTACTTGGCATCCATGCAATAAGAAACAAGAAGAGAAAATGAATGAAGACGTTGAAGATACAGATTACGATAATCGCCGGAGACTTCTAACCATATCAGACTCCGGTGGAGTTTTCCGGCGTTCATTGGCGGCAGGCTCAGAGGACAAATGTGCAGCAAAGGTAAGACCCATTTATGCATGTGTATATATGTTCCATGCACCTTTTTATCTACGCCCAAAATTTACGGACCATCCATTTTTGCAGCAGCTTAAACAAATTGACCATTATACCACTAAACCTTCAGATTGGAAAAGTCCATGTCACATCCGATGATTTGATACCATTTTCTTGGTGCACAGAATGTGAATTTATGACCTTTATGCAACGAATAATCAATTTGAAGATTCCATTTTTATTTGTTATATATCTTTTCAATTGTAACATTTTGCTAATTTTCTTGCATTTTTCTACATTTTTCTCTTGGCTCTAAGAATTATCAAACTTGGTAAGCTATTACATAGACGAAGCATCTTAGTTATGTTTGTGGGATTCGAAAGTCATGCACGGTATAGAAATCATTCATGAATTAAAATAAATAAGTTGATTTTGATTATTGTAGAAAAGTCTCTCTAAGTCAATATATTAATAATAAACAAAATACAAAAAATGAATCATGCATTAATATGAATCTCATTCTGACCATTTTCAACTCTTGAAACTATAAACTTTGATTATACCTGTTGCAAACTGATGAAGAAATAATAAAGGAAAAAGGTTATTAACTTAGCCAGTTAATGTAAAAGCTGTTAAAATTATTTTAGTACGCGTGTTCATGCACAAATAGGGCCAGTGGAAGTCGGAGTTATTGGATTAATTTGTTAACATATACTATATATGTACATATGCAGGGTAAAGTACCATTTGTTTCCTCGGATGGTATCCACCAACTCCACATTTTCATCTTCGTGCTAGCTATTTTCCATGTCCTTTACTGTATTCTTACAATGGCATTGGGCAGAGCTAAGGTACTCCAAGATACTTGTCCTCACTTCGTTTACATTGAATCAAATGATCGGATATTTCATATCCTTGCTCCTCCTAATTCTCGCTCTAAATGTATATAATTTGGAATATTTCTTGTCGGTCGCAGATGAGAAGTTGGAAGAGGTGGGAAAAGGAGACTAGAACCATCGAATACCAGTTCTCGCACGGTTAGTACAAATTATAACCAAATATGGACTTTATTCAGAGGCTGGTGCATGCACCCAGTTTAATATCTTGAACCATGTGATAAACATTTCCATTCATACTATGGGGGTTTTTTTTTTTTTTTTGAGAAGGAAATGTTTGAATAAGCTAAGTGATTAGTATGTCGATAATTTAAAATGACTTGGGTATTTAATTTACTCAAATTTTAAATAAATTGCTAATTATGAATTGGTCTTTTCCAACTTCCATTGGTAAAATCTTGTTTTTAGCTATATATGTCTACATATACTGCTGCAGGCTACGGTCCAATTAATGTAGTGATTAATGCTGGGTTTTTTTTTTTTTTTCTATTTGAGCAGATCCGGAGCGGTTCAGATTTGCAAGGGAAACGTCGTTTGGAAGAAGGCACTTGAGCTTTTGGACCAAAAACCCGGTTCTTATGTGGATAGTAAGAAACTTCTTTCCCTCTCTTTTCATGTAGTAATTATAAATTACCGAAGTCCTTGGTCCTATAAGTTTTATAATAGCAAGATAATTTTTACGGCCTTTGGATCAGAAAAACATTTAGTATAAGATAACGGTCGCGACTGCCTTTCTAGAAAAGGACCACAGCCACAGCTACAGCCGTCCAATTATGGCCACCACATTATCCCCAACTTGTAACCACTTTGACTTTTATTTCCCTGCCTCTTTTTTACAACTAATTAATTCTTTAACCATATTCATCAGGCAATTAAATAAATATTCATAAAGGATATTTACTATGATTTTGACTTTAAAATGTTTACTCAATCAAACCATCCCTCACCTCACCTTAAGGGTAAGTAAAATTGAATCGAATTAATAATTTCATTGAATCAAATGTAATTTGGATAAAATGGTTAGCTCCAATCAGTCCATTGGGTCTATTTGTCAAAAAAAATTGTTATATTTGATTTATTTAATCGATTCTCAATTTTAAAATTTTTAGACCAAATCATCCAAAAGACTAAACTAATATTATTTATATTAATATATAATATTATATATATTAAATTTATATAAAATATATATTTTCCTATTACTAAGTTGATGATGTGCTATGGTTGATTGTGTTGTGTTAGATGGTTTTATTTTGTGGATGTTATTTTTATTATTTTTGTTATATTAAATCTTGAATGTTAGAACTTAAAGATTAAAACTCTAAAATGTTAATTTGATGACTTATGTGAAAGAATATAATTATGTGAGTAAAAGGACAAATGTTATATACATTTTTTTATATTTAGATTATTTGTATGCTTTATAATTATGAATGAAATTAATTTATAAATTTTAATTTTATAATTTGGAAAAGATAAAAGTGACAAAATTTTGATTTTTTTAGTCAAAAATTGAACCCACCGAATCAATTCTATGTTTGATTGGTTCAATCATCTTTTAAGTTTGATTAGTTTTCTAAAAATATTTAGTCTATTTCATCTTTAATTATGATGGACCAAGCCCATCAATTACTAACCCCATTAGATCTAAGGTACCAAGATAGTATAATGCCAAACGTATATATTAGTTTACATTGTCTTCAACCTCACACTGGGTCACTTGTATTTTTCCAGGTTTGTTTCTTCAGACAGTTTGTAAGGTCGGTCCCTAAAGTTGATTACTTGACCCTCCGACATGGATTTATCATGGTATTTAGTAATTCCTTCTTAATTTTCTCATCTACGCAATTTCCTATTTCACTATTAGAAGCTACTTGGAGTAATTATTCAATCTGTCAAATTAATCTATTTGGACAGGCACACTTGGCACCCCAAAGCCAAACCCAATTTGATTTCCAAAAATACATAAATAGATCATTGGAAGAAGATTTCAAAGTTGTTGTGGGCATCAGGTAATTTCAGTTCTCCATATTTCTCTCTTTAATTCTCAATTTACAATATTATAGATTGACACTTTTTTATTTTCCATCGATTTTCCAGTCCTCCAATATGGTTTTGGGCTGTAGTCTTCCTACTCTTTAACACTCATGGTGAGTACATTATGTTTATCTTTTTTTAATTATAAATATATATCTATATATAAATATTTAAGTGAATGATAGTCTTGTATAATTTAATGGCCTAATAATTTGACTCAATTATTCATATATTTATTTTTTATGGACAGGTTGGTATTCTTATCTGTGGCTGCCATTCATCCCTTTGATTGTAAGCATAATCTCCCAAATCTACAATATTGTTTTTCTTACCAATTTTACTGATTTAAATAGCATAATCCTTTAATCAACAATGATTGGGGGATGAGATTAACTGCTATGATTTGGGATGAACATGCAGATCGTCCTGCTAGTGGGAACCAAGCTACAGGTGATCATAACCAAAATGGGGCTCAGAATTCAGGAGAGAGGAGAGGTGGTGAAAGGAGTGCCGGTCGTTCAGCCTGGCGACGACCTTTTCTGGTTCAACCGCCCCAGACTCGTTCTCTTTCTTATCAACTTTGTTCTTTTCCAGGTATGGTTATATAATTATATTATTTTTCTTCTATACATGTATAGCTTTCTTCAGGAAATATTATTGAATAAACTTTTAGGGTTGGTGATGTTAATCTTCTGTTTGCTCTTTTTTCTTCCTTTTTCTTTTTGCAGAATGCCTTCCAGTTTGCATTCTTTGCATGGACTTGGGTACGATTCTTGCCCTTGATATCTGCTGAATTTACTATGTTTGGGGGGTTATGATAATCGGTCACAAGCATGATTTTCTAATATAAGTTCTTGTTTTTGGTTCTGACAGTATGAATTTGGGATAAAATCTTGCTTCCATGAGCATGTGGAAGATGTAGTCATCAGGATTTCAATGGGGTAAAAACTTAAATTATCTCATCACCCATCCATGATCATGACCATGGAAATTATGAAATTCTCTCATAGAATTTTAACTTTGTAATTTTTTTTTTCACAGGGTCCTCGTTCAAATTCTTTGCAGCTATGTCACTCTTCCTCTTTATGCCCTCGTAACACAGGTAATTATAAAAAACATACATAGACCATAGAATAAATTTTCAACGTTCCAAGTGATATTTTAATTATTAAATCATTCCATTTAATGATTTTTGCTATGATCAGATGGGTTCGAACATGAAACCCACCATATTCAACGAAAGAGTAGCCACGGCGCTAAGGAAATGGCACCACACGGCTAAGAAACAGATCAAACAGAACAAGGGCTCGGTGACCCCTTTCTCTAGCAGACCGAACACCCCATCACACCACACGTCCCCGGTCCACCTCTTGAGAAACTACCGGAGCGAAATGGACAGCCTCCATACCTCGCCAAGGAGATCGAATTTCGATATTGAGCATTGGGACACGGATTCTCCATCCCCCTCCCACCCCAATTATGGTGAGGGTTCATCGTCTCACCACCATAATTATATGGCTGAACAAGTTCAACTAGACAATGATAGGGATGTTGTAAATGAGCCGAGCTCAAGTGAACAACAGGAACGCACGCAACATGAGATTAATATCGGGCCGAAGGAATTTTCTTTTGATAGAAGAACGAGTGTATAAACATACATTTGGGATTTGAAATTAGATGGTAATATATAACATGATCAGATGGCTGATAGCATCAATGGAATTGGCCATGGAAGAAATGATGCCACTTGATCATTTTGGATCACCCAGTGAATTGTAATTCTTTTTTTCTTTGGACACTACTTTTGGCAAAAGATGGTGCTTCAGCCTTCAGGACAAAATTTTCATTAGTTTTGTGTAATTTGGTTCTGTATAGATGAGTGCATACAGACTTTTTGAGGACTATGTCCAAGAGGTTCATGCATACCTATAACTTCTAGAGCATTTTGGGCGGTCAAATTTCTATAAAATGATAGAATTCATTGAAGAATTAGGAAGTAACCTTTTAAAAGAATTTGCACCACTCCTATCTTGTAACTCTTGATTCTTCAAGAGTCACTTTTTTCTCCTTGGAGGAATGTAGCCTTCATTTTAGATGAGATCTGTTGTTTCCCTTGATGAAGCAGTGTCTTCTAGTTCTTGGTCTTTTTTTTTTTCAGAGTCAAGAGAGATGAGCATTTCTGTGTATTCATGTCCTTTGAAGTCTCCAAGAAATACCATCAAGAATAACAAAATCAATTTTTAAAAGAATTACAAGATAGGATTGGTCCTCTAGAAAGCTAAAATTCAAGAGTAGTAGCAGATACTCCACTAAGACAAGCAATATTCTTTAGATTCAGAAACACAAAATCAAAAAACAAAAGAATATATTATGGTACTCTCAGAAGTATCCAACTAAAGATATTTAATAAAAATAAAACTCTTAATCAATAAAGAATTCCAATTAAAAATAATAGCACTATTTGACACAGGTGTTGATCAAAACTATATAAAAAAAAGAATTATTCCAACAAAATATTATAACCGAACAACAGAAGGATTAAAAATTGCTAATGGTGAAAATCTTAAAATCACACACAAAATATCAAATGTTGAAATCTATAACTAAGAAGTCAAATTCAAAACACTTTTTCTAATAATGAAAAATATAACCCAAGATGTCATTAGGAACTTCTTTTATATCAATATTAAAACCATACAAAGTCACTCACCAAGCAATTACCACCAAAATATTAAAAACCAAAGTCAATTTTCCTTTCATAGAAAAACAAAAAATTAAAAATATTAATCTATTGAAATCTTTATCAATCTAAACAAACCAAATCAATTCATTAATTAATCACAAACAACAACAGATTGCTTACCTAAAGGAAGAGATTTCTTTTTAAAGAATAAGTCAACAGCTAAATACTAGTGAAATTAAACAAAAAATAAAACAAATCAAAAATGAAATAGAAAAAATAATTTGCTCTGAAATTCCTAATGCCTTTTGGGAAAGGTAAAAGCATAAGGTAACACTACTTTTTATAAAAGACTTTAATAAAAACTAATCCCTACAAAAGCCAAAGCCATCCAAATGAACAAAGATATGGAAGAATTTTGCAGAAAAGAAATTTAAAATTTATTAAACAAAAAATTAATTAGGAAAACTAATTCACCCTAGAGCTGTTTGACTTTTTATGTTATCAAAATGCAGAAATAGAAAGAGAAGCACAAGGATTAGTAATCAATTATAAACCTCTGAACAAAGCATTAGAATGGATTAGATATCCCATTCCAACTAAAAAAGATCTCCTACAAAAACTCTGTAATGTAAAAATCTTTTCAAAATTTGATATGAAATTAGAATTCTAGCAAATATAGATAAAAGAAAATGAAAAATACAAAATAGCATTTACTGTTCCGTTTGGACATTATGAATGGAATGTAATGCTTTTTGGTTTAAAAAATATGCCATCAAAATTTTAAAAAATAATGAATGAAATTTTTAATCCATATATTGATGATGTCCTAGTCTTTTCGGATAATTTAGAAAAGCATTTTAAGCATCTTAAAATATTTACCAACATCATCAAAAGAAATGGTTTAGTTATTTCTAAATCCAAGATTAGCTTATTTCAGAACAAAGATCAAATTTTTGGGACATTATATAACCCAAGGAACCATAACACCAATCGAAAGATCTATAAAATTTGCTGAAAATTTTTCTAACAAAATATTAGATAAAAAACAACTTCAAAGGTTTCTAGGAAGCCTCAATTATATTATTGATTTTTACCCAGTACTTAGTAAAATCTGTAAACTTTTACACTAAAGACTCAAAAAGAATCCTATCCCTTGGACAACCAACCATATTGAGGTAGTCAAATAAATAAAAAATATATATAAAAGAACTCTCATGTTTACACTTAGCAAACTTGATGCATCAAAAATAGTAGAAATTGATACTTCAGACTTAGGGTATGATGGGGTCCTCAAACAAGTCAAAATAAAAAAGAACAAATAGTCCAGTTTACTTCTAAACTTTGAAATCTTGCACAACAGAATTATAGTACTATTAAAAAAGAAAATTTATCAATTGTTTTGTACATTTCAAAATTTCAAAGTGATTTACTAAATCAAAGATTTTTTTTAAGAATTGATTGTAAATAAATAAAAGAAGTTTTGCAAAAAGATGTTCAAAACATTGCTTTCAATCAGATATTTGTCAAATGGCAAGTAATGTTAAGTATATTCGATTTTGATATAGAATATATCAAAGAAGAGTCAAATTCTTTATCAGATTTTCTTACCAGAGAATTCTTATATGAAAAAATATACCTCCAAAACTGAGAGACAAGAAAAATAAAGAAAAAGACCAAAAGATAGAGACCTTTCAAAAACCCTTCATAAACCAAAAAGCCTCCAAACCATTTTCCCTATGACCTAAACACTTTCCCAAACTCAACCATCCTCTCAAAAAAAAAAAAAAACAAATCCAATATTATAGAAAAAAAAATCCTTTCAGAATGTTTTATTAATAAAAGAATGATTTTATGAAAAATCTCCTAATATTGTTATAAGAAAAACCTTCCAAGTGTAGCATTTTAAACTATGGGATTTGAAAAAGTCCCAATAATATTATCAAAAATATTTTAATTCAAACAAGATCTGTTTTAATTAAGCATTATACAGATAAAAATGATCTTAGTTTGATCACCCATTCCACGTGTCAGATTTTAAAAGTACTACGGCCCACTGACTGAGGAGAAAACTTAAACCAATTTTAAAAAGTTTTAAGCAATTTTACAATGATAATAGACCATTGTTCTGTTTTCAATTATTGGGATTACCAACATGCTTGGTTTAATACTTTTTTTCAGTAATAAACAAACCAAACACTCCTTATTAATGTTTTTCAAATATAAAAATTAATGCAAATTCTCAGTATGGTTTTCTCATTGGTGAAATTAGTTTGGTCTATTAAGAGAAATCCTTCCCCCAAAATTTAATGATTTATATGAAAAATTCTTTCAATATTTTCAACCTGAATCAGATCAGGACAAATTACATGTTGCGATACATTTTTTTCTTAAAATTAATTATTTCTTAGATCACATCTTGGGAATATACCTATGATACTGATCCTCAATTAAGAGCACCAGTGGTCATCTGAATATTTAAGAAATGGTGAGAAAATTTTGATGAAAAGAAACATGACGAACTGTTCCTCAACACGTGGTTCAGCAAAAGTCCAAAGTTTTACAAAAGTGCCCAAATATCACAAGAAAATGTAAAATTTTTACAAGTCAAGTCCAATGTAAGTGCTCTGCTAGCCCAAGCAAAAACTAAAGCAGAATACAAGAGAATCATAGCTTAAATGCTCAGCTCTCTTGACTTTGAAAAAGAAGAAAACCAAGAACCAGAAGACATTACTTCATTAAGGGAAACAACATACCTCATCCAAGACGAAGGCTACATTCTTTCGAGAAGAAGAAAGTGACCCTTGAAGAATCAAGAAGTCTAGAACCAGAACCAAAAAGGCCAAAAAGAATCTACACCAAAAGACAAAAGATGCTAACAGCGGACAGTCATAAAGCACATCCGTCACAAAGATGAAAAAGGAAGAGAATCCGGAGATAAAAGTAACAACAACTCAAGCAACCCATGACTCAGAAAAAGAAAAAGCAGTAGACGGCAAAAAGAATTTGCAGTGAAAGATGCTAACAGCAGACAACCCGTGACTTTGCCAAAGTAAATTTAAACGTAGCGAAAGTAAATTTAAATGTAAATTTTGATATAAATTCAAATCCAAATGTAAATTTCAAGCTCATCTATAAGGGCTTGAGAATAAATGAAGAGACAGAACTTTAGAACTTAGAATTGGAGGAATTTAGAAGAAAGCTCCTCTCCTCTTCTCGATCTTTTGCTCTCAATCAAACATTTTTGTAATCCTCAAATATCTTTTCTCAATAAATATTTTTATTTTTAAAATTGTTTTCCTATGTGTATATATATATATATATCAACAATATTTTTTATAATTAATTTTATTATAATTTTACAATTATCCAATCACAACAAAAAATTATATAACAGAAACCATTTATAAGAGTACGTAGATTTCATATAATATTTTGATAAATTTTGTGGTTGTAATTAAATAATTATACTGCAGTAATTAAGTCGTATGCTCTTTCTTTTGTCCTATCACCCTACTCATACATACCCTTGTGTGGCACTCCTCCCCATGTTGCTTGAGAGTGGCAAGAGAACGATCAAAGATCTGAATTTCTATAGGGTAATTTTTTTTTGTCAATTTAATTCTTTGAAATTTTTTGTTTTGATCATCTAATTTGAAAAAAATAATATTTGGTTACAAGCATTTTATGAATTTTATTATTTTGACACTCAGACGTTAAAAGATAATAAATCTTGCCCGTGATAATAAGTATTCCATGTTAGATATTTTACCATGTGACCAAATCAAAGTGGCAAGAAATTTTTTCTAAAAAAATCCTTTTCTTTAGAGCAGCTAATGTAGAACTTCAAGTGAGATTATATTTTTTATAAAGATTAAGTGGCCAAAACAATAACAATTAGTAACTTCGGTGATGAAAATATTATCTTTCAAAGTTGAATGATCAAAAGAAAACAAAATAAGTGTTTGAAAAGATAATTTACCGATTTCTTTATTAAAAACTAATTCAGCTCGGACATTTTCCAGCATATTTGGGCCGCATTGGACCTTAAACATCAGCCCATAAATGAACAACAATCGAGGCCTTACAAGTAAGAAAAGAAAGATCAAAGAAAAAGAATCGAAGAAAACTACAAACAAAGCCGAAGCCGGGAAAAGTCAATGGGCAATTGAACAGACTCCGATTTAGAGACAAAGAAAGCGGCGGAGCTTTCTAAAAGTCAATGCTCTAAGATATCCCTAGGTAATAATACCGTAACAGGAGTACAGAATATTGCTTGAATATGCAAATGTTTATCGTTTAGGCAGCCCCACTATCCAAAAGAAAAAACTAATAAACCATATATCTATATATAAATCTTGTTCAAGAAAGCTGTCATGAATCTAATCATGAAACTAGAAATCCCAGAACAAATCAAGGGCGGCTAAATAAAGCAGGAGTTCCTCTAAGTTTGTAGTTTCCGGCTACTTGTGTTAGGGGCTACCCTCGCTAGCCTTTTCTGATATAATGTACACAGACTTGCTTGAAACAGATGTATAAAAGTACAATATCACACTTCCATCCCAAGAAAACGGCCCCAGATATATGTATATAAAAAACACAGCCTTAAGTTTAAATTGTTCATAAACCAGTTTTACATTAATTCCTTTCTTTATCCACATGTTCAGAACCTTAATCAAGATTAACAAATTGCCAACGGATGAATCCTTGTTATTCTAGCTACACCGACGTCCTCCTAAGTTTACTCATGATCATGTTCATGGCTAGTCCTCGATCAATCGACGCTACTGAAAATCCTGCAGCCATACTTATAAGAGTTGATCCATCAGGGAAGGGAGACTACAGGAAATTACAAGATGCCATTGACGCCGTGCCATCCAACAACAAAGAAGTTGTGTTCATTTTGGTCAAGCCTGGTATCTACAAAGAAAAGATTGTTGTGCCTGCGGACAGGCCCTTCATTACAATAAGTGGTTCAAAGGCAAATGGCACAATAATAACTTGGGATGATAGTGGGAACATATTTGAATCTCCTACCTTCTCTGTGTTGGCTTCTGATTTTGTTGCCCGATACCTCACAATTCAGGTATATTCTTTTGATAATAAATAAATGTATTTTGGTCTTAACAAATAAGTTTAATTGACAGTATGTTAGTGTCACGGGGCGATTCTTAAGACCACCTTCCGTGCGGCTGGCTTCAACCCTTATCTCGGCACTTAGAACCCAAGTCAGCCTAGTGCTTCAGCACTCGCCCAACAAGCACTCAACACCACACAATGGCTTTAAGCCGGCAAGCAAGCTTGCATAAACGAGGAAGGAAAAATGGGAAGAGAATGCTAGAGAGAAAAACTAAGCTTGTATTGAATGAATTGAGATACAAGTGTGTTGGATGATTTACACAAGGAGGATGGGGTTATTTATAGCAAGGTTCCCCACCCATTTCCCTCCAAAAATTTCCCTCCAAAGGATTTCCCTCCAAAACATTTGGGAGGGAAACTAAGGTTTCTAGAAGCTCATTTGGGAGGGAAATCCCTACATGGGTCTTGGTGGGCTGGCACCCTACATGGGTCTTGGAGGGCTGGCACCCTCTTGGGCCTCTTGGCGGGTCTGGGCTGTGGCCCGTGACATGTGGCCCGTGACACCCTCCCCCACCTAAGCTGGCAGCGTCCTCGCTGCCGTGTGGAAGGCGTCGATCCGATCTTTGAACTGCCACAAGTCTTCTTTAGATTCCCAACTAGTTTCACTTTCGGGCAGTCCCTTCCACTTTACTAGGTACTGATGCTGGGGCATGTGTGCTTCGCCGAAGTACCCTATCGGCCAGCACTTCTTCTATTTCTCTGTCGTATGCTGCTCGAATGCCCACTGGAGCCCTACTACTTTCCCCTCGACTAGGGTCATCTTTATCCGCATGGTAGGGCTTTAGCATACTAACATGAAATACCGGGTGCACCTTTGGCTTGAGCGGCATGTCCAACTTGTATGCCACCTGACCGATTCTCTTGATTACCCGATATGGCCCCTCGTACCTTCGAACAAGGCCTTTGTGCAAGCCTCTGTTCCTTAGAACTAGATGTAGCTTTACCATTACCATGTCTCCTTCGTTAAAATGAGCTTCCCGTCGGGTTTGATCTGCCCACTTCTTTGCCCTCTTGGTAGCCTTGTGGAGACATGTTCGGGCCAAGTCCTGCTGCTCTTCCAACTTCTGGCGGCCTTGTATGCAGCTGGTGCTGAACCAGTATAGCCCACAGCAATGGCACTTAGTGTGTGGGGCTGTTGTCCAATCACGATTTCAAACGGGCTTTGACCGGTGGACTCGCTGCGCTGTAAGTTATGCGAAAATTGTGCTATGTCAAGCCACTTTGGCCAGTCGGACTGCGTGCCCCGCACGAAGTGCCTTAAGTAGAGCTCCAGCAACGCATTCACCCGCTCAGTTTGCCCATCCGTCTGTGGGTGGTTGCTGGTGGAAAAGCACAGTTCAAACCCCAACAGCTTAAATAATTCAGTCCAGAATTTTCCCGTGAATCGGCCATCCCGATCGCTGATGATGGTGTGCGGAACGCCCCAATGTTTGACGATGTTCTTCAAAAACAGCTTGGCTGCTTCTTCTGCAGGACATTCCTTTGTGGCTGGTATGAAAGTGACGTATTTGGAAAACCTATCCACCACTACCATGATACTGCCAAACCCATCCGCTTTGGGCAGCCCCATGATGAAGTCCATACTCACGCTGTCCCAAGGTTTGTCCGGCACTGGCAGAGGGTTGAGCAATCCCCTCGGTCTTTGCTGCTCGACTTTGTCCTGTTGGCATACCAAGCAAGTCCGGACGTAGCCCTCAACATCATCTTCCATCCTGGGCCAGTAGTAGTCGGAGCTCAATAATGCCAGCGTCCGATGCATTCCCGGATGTCCCGCCCAATGGCTGTCGTGGCATTCCTTCAGCAGTTGTTTCCGCAAGCCCCCATGCTGCGGAACATAGAGCCTGTTGCCCTTGGTGTACACTAGCCCTTCGCTTGCCCAAAACCGTCTGGTCTTGCCTGTCGTGGCATGCTCCAGTATGGATTGTGCGGTCGGGTCGCCTGCCATGCCATCTCGGATACGAGGTAGCAGCTCTGTGTGCACCTCACTGATGGCAGCCAGTGTAGCCTTCCTGCTCAAGGCGTCGGCCACAAAGTTAGCCTTGCCTGGCTCATACTCCAGTTCGTAGTCGAATTCTGCCAAGAAATCCTGCCACCTAGCTTGCTTTGGGCTTAGCTTTTTCTGGCTTTGGAAGTAGGATGTGGCTACATTGTCTGTCCGCACCACAAATTTGGCCCCCAACAAGTAATGTCGCCATGTCCGTAAGCAATGTACCACTGCCGTCATCTCTTTTTCCTGAACCGTATACCGTCTCTCGGTATCGTTCAGCTTCCGACTCTCATATGCAACTGGATGCCCGGCTTGCATCAGTACACCGCCAATGGCAAAGTCGCTTGCGTCTGTATGCACTTCATATGGCAGCATATGGTTTGGTAGTCCCAACACCGGTTGCTCGCTCACTGCTTGTTTCAGCCGATCGAAGGCGTGTTGGCTTACTGCATTCCAGTCCCACGCTCGACCTTTCTTCAACATGTCGGTGAGTGGTGCAGCAATGCCCGAGTACCCCTCGATGAACCGGCGATAATAGTTGGCCAACCCAAGGAACGATCTTAGCTCCCTTACCTTGGTGGGCGGTTCCCATTCTTGAATGGCGCTCACCTTGGACGGGTCCATCCGGATTTTGCCATCTCCCACAATGTGCCCAAGGAACGGCACTTCATGCAAACCGAAGCAACATTTCTCTTTCTTTACATACAGCTTATGTTGTCTGAGAGCCTCAAAAACTTGTCGTAGGTGGTCAACATGGTCTTGCAATGAATGGCTGTAGACTACAATATCGTCAAGGTAAACAACAACAAATTTGTCCAGAAAGGGTTGTAATACCTTGTTCATTAGGGTACAAAATGTTGCCGGCGCGTTTGTTAATCCGAACGGCATAACCAAAAACTCATATGCCCCATATCGAGTTACACATGCAGTCTTGGAGATGTCCCCTGCAGCTATCCTCACTTGGTAATACCCGGACCGTAAATCCAGCTTTGAAAACCAGCGTGCGCTACCTAACTGATCAAACAAGTCAGCGATGAGCGGGATTGGGTACTTGTTCTTCACCGTTAGTTTGTTCAAAGCTCGGTAGTCGATGCATAGCCTCAATGACCCATCATGTTTCTTTTGAAACAAAACCGGCGCACCAAAAGGAGATTTCGACGGCCTGATGAACCCAGCGTCAATGAGTTCCCCGAGTTGCTTTCTCAGTTCTGCCAACTCAGGAGGCGCCATCCGATACGGTGCCTTAGCGGGTGGCTGTGCCCCTAGCACTAGTTCAATGTGATGATTCACTTCTCGTACAGGGGGTAAGTGACCCGGCAGTTTTGAAGGCATCACATCATGAAACTCCTCCAGCACCTCAAGCACTTCCGTCGGCGCCTCAATCATGCTGCCGGGGGTGTCCTCTAGACTCAAAACAGCAGCAAATGTTTGCTCACCCTTGCGTACGCCCTTGGCTAGCTGCATGGCAGACAATGTTTTCGTTGGCTGAGTGCGCCCTCGTCTGACCGGTACTACGCACTGCCCTTTTTGATCCAAGATACAGATGCAGTCATTGTGTGGCATGAGAACGGCTTGGATTCTGTCCAGGAAGCCAATTCCTACGGCTACATCATAGTCATCCATCGGGATGATCTCGATATCCACAGCCCCATGCCACTGTCCAAGCTGCACATCGATCCCTTTGGCAATACCCTTCGTGCGCACTCTCTTGGAGTTCACTGTCTTTACCCAGCCGCCTGCACTGTTGGCTCTAATGCCTAGTTTGGCGGCACACTGTTCCGACACGAAGAGTTCAGAAGCACCAGTGTCTACCAACGCTTCCACTGGTTGTCCCGCCATGATCATGTCGGTGTACATGAGCCCCTTGGCTCGACTACTCTGTCTTGCTTACTGCCCCAGCAGCACTGAGCCCAATCGCTCCGCCTGGTTCGATTGTGGCTCCTCCTCCGAGGCTATCGCCACTACGCTTGGTGCGCTTTGGGCAATCTCAGACCATGTGGTCCGTCACACAAGAAGCAACCCTTCGGTTGGTCCTCCTTGTTTCTGAAAGATTTTCATTTTGAGGCAGAATTACCTCTCCATTTTGATTGTGGCTTGCCCTCGCCACCATCCTTGGGCTGGTTATCTCTGTCCGCCCAGCCCTTTTCTTTGTACTGCCTACCTTTATCAGCCCATCCCTTACCTTTATCCTTTGGCTTGGATGGCGTAGGTTTGTCCTTGTCGGCTCGGGAGTAATCTACCAAGCTTTCGGCCACTGCCATGGCTCGAGTGAGGTCTTGCACGCCTCGCCTCTGCAACTCTTGCTTGGCCCATGGTTTCAAACCATCCATGAAGGTGAAGAGGGCCTCCCTCTCCCCTAGATCACCCACTTGAAGGGCCAGCTCACTGAACTCCTTCACATATTCTCGGATCTCCCCACGTTGGACCAGCCGTCGCAGCCTGCCCCTTGCCTCATCCATGGCATATTCGGGGTAAAATTACTGTCGTAACTTCCGTTGGAAATCAGCCCACGTGAGTACCGTGCTCCACCGAACCTATCATCGCACCGCCTCCTCCACCAAAGCAGTGCGGTATCTCCCAAATACATGGATGCCGCGATGATCGTCGGTCATCCATCACGACCCAGTGGCTTTAAAGTATGCTCAACCCTAGAAGAAGTTGTCTATTTCCTTGCATCCCTCCGGCCTCGGAATTCTCTCGGCTTAGGCACATCTAGCCTTACTTCTGTATGTGCGGCAGCCTCTCGGCCACTATTGGCCCTTGCTGTCCGCACTTCCTCCTTCAATTCATCCAGCTCACGCCTTAAGGCTTCCATTTCTCTTGCCAGTTGGGCGTTTCGTTCCATGGCCGTCTCAAAGGTCTCCCTTACCATCTCTTGAACTTCCCCTCTAAGTTCTTCATCTCGAGCATGAAGCTCTTCCATGTGCTCCTCCTGCACATCAAGGCGGTCACGTGTCTCACCCAGGTTACCTCCACCTAGATAGCCTAACATCCAGCCCAAGGATTAGGTCTCGTGAGGCGGACTTTGCCTTCCGACCAGCACGCGTCTCTCTGACCTCGAGAGTTTCCTCGGGCATGTTTGATCCACTAGTGGCCATTCCTTCCTTTCAATCACCTTTTACTTCCTTTGGGAATTTCGTCGGGCACCTGGGTCGTAAACACTTCCCTCTGGTGTGGGAATTTCGTCGAACACTTGGATCGCAACAATCTGGGAATTCTGTCGAACACTTGGATTGCAACCGCTCTGATACCAACTGTCACGGGGCAATTCTTAAGACCACCTTCCGTGCGGCCTTGGGCTCAACCCTTATCTCGGCACTTAAACCCAAGTTAGCCTTAGTGCTTAGCAGCTCGCCCAAACAGCACTCAACACCCCCACAATGGCTTTAAGCCGGCAAGCAAGCTTGCATAAACGAGGAAGGAAAAATGGGAAGAGAATGCTAGAGAGAAAACTAAGTGTATTGAATGATTAAGATACAAGTGTGTTGGATGATTTACACAAGGAGGATGGGGTTATTTATAGCCAAGGTTCCCCACCCATTTCCCTCCAAATTTTCCCTCCAAAGGATTTCCTTCCAAAAGATTTCCCTCCAAAACCATTTGGGAGGGAAACTAAGGTTTCTAGAAACTCATTTGGGAGGGAAATCCCTACATGGGTCTTGGTGGGCTGGCACCCTACATGGGTCTTGAGGGCTGGCACCCTCTTGGGCCTCTTGGCGGGCTGGGCTGTAGCCCGTGACATGTGGCCGTGACATTAGCCTTGGATCATCTCGTAAATATTTTGAGACCCCAAGTTATTTATTTTTTGTCAAACTATATACCAATTTATGTATTATGATAACGTGATAATTTATAAAATAAATTGAATGCTTGAACAATTTGAAAATCAAACTTCAAATGTTACTTTTTTACTTTTAGTTACATAATTTTATTTAAAATTCATAAATTCCAAAATGAAATCAATGAAGCAATAAATAACGATCTTCTATATCTTATCTTCATCACATAGAACACAACATGGAGCTGGTGCCAAAGCAGTAGCATTGAGGGTATCGGAGGTAGGGTAGCTTTCTTCGGTGCAGATTTTTATCCTATCAGGGTACCCTTGCTAGATGACACCGGAAGACACTACTACAGCGGTTGTTTCATTGAAGGACCTGTCGACTTCATTTGTGGGAATGCTGCTTCTCTTTTTGAGGTATACATTCAAGAACCTGATCAGACATACATGCTGATTCAACAATATGTAGCTGCCCTGGCAAGCTTACAAATGGAATTCTCTTTGGATTTTTTACAGAGATGCCACTTGCATTCACTCTCGGAAGGAGATGCAGCTATCACCCCCCAACGCAGGGAGTCACCTTCCGAGGACACAGGCTTTACTTTCTTGGGTTGCAAGGTCACTGGCGTCAAGACTGCTCTACTGGGAAGGGCATGGGGTCCATATTCCAGGGTCGTTTTCGCCCTTACCTATATGTCCAATGTGATTCTGCCCCAAGGTGGGATGACTGGGGAGACTCATCCAAGCAAAGGTAACCAATTAAAAAAAGACTCAAATATCTTCCGTTTCTTTCTTATTAATGTAGTAAAATTTTGGAAACTGAACGAATATGTAATTATCTTTCCTTGGTTCTTGATTCTACAGCTGGGTTTTCTACAGAGAATACAAATTTTATGGACCTGGAGCCAACACAAAGAAAGGGTTGAATGGTCTCAAGAGCTGACAGGCATAAAGGCCCAGCCTTTCTTGACAAAGAACATGATTGGTCGCAAGAGTTGGATCAGATCAACGCCAACCCGTTTCAAGAAAGCTTCAACTGCCGTATCTAACAATTCTACTAGGCATGCCTAATCACGAAGAGGGAAGAATGAATGTGGAGAGCTTATGCCGCTGCCATATATGTCCTTTTTTTTTTTTTTCAATTTTCCCACTTTAGGTACTACTTATTAATTAGAAATTTGTTTATGTAAAGTGATTCATTCATTTTTTTTGTAACAACTCTGAATTTGTCCATTGCCACTCAAAATTAATGTTAAACAGATCAACGAAGCATTTATATATTGAGAAAAGATTTCCATTCTTTATTAGTATTATCTCTTTGATTGGGAAAGCCAACAATATAATATAACATATACATGAAAATTACTTGTTCGATAAAAAAATTCCAAAGTACCGTAATGTAAAACGATATAGATACAAGGCATGAATCCTAATTTGTAAATAGGACATGGCTGATTCAGCCAGTGAGCAAGCTCCACCAAGCACGGAACTATTTTACCAAAGCCTGCACAAATGACGACACAATGCATCAAACTGCTGGCCCTGCGGCTGTGGTTTTTCAGAGTCTGGTAACGCTTTAACAAAGAAGCTTATCAGCTCCTGCCCAAAGTTTATCAAAAAACAACAATGCCTGACCTCACCACCCCCACAGTTTTTCAACATTGATTTCCAACGGCCTCATATCTTCCTTTCCCCTCTATCTTTTTAAAAGCCAAAAACCTTTTCTTCTTCAGGATTTGAAAAAAGCTAGAAGTGCATTTGTAGGGAGAGAAGGGATGGAGATGGAGAAGAAGGTTCAGGGATTGCTCGGAACGTTGGGTCGCCACTGTTATGCGGTGTTGTGTGTGAGTGTGATACTTGTTTCGGTGACAATTGCTCACCTGGTTTATGCAATGGAGGATCACCCGATGGATGCACGTGAACGCACCAAGCGTCGCCTCCGTTCTTTGCATGGCCCTTTCTCTTAGCCAAAGCTCCGGCTCGCTCATGGCGTCCTTCTGGCTTTGTCTTTTCTTCCCCTTCTTTTGTGAACAGTTTTTATTTGTATTGAAGAATTATAAATGGTTGTTTCTTGTTCAAGTTATTGGACTATCTTCATCATTTAATTCCCTTCCGAATCGTGCTTGGCTTCTTATGGGTTGTTTGTTGTCCACGGCTAATCCAGCTCCATAAAGGAAGTGTGTGTGGCTCAATTTTCCAGATATTATAAATTCAATCAAGATTCTTTTCGTTATACTCTTCAAAATATATAGGACTGACTCTTTGAGGAAATTAATTATGGAGTTGTCAATCGAAAATGAAAATGAAAAATATTCGAAAAAGCAAATAATCTAATCCTCTTTTATTGTTTTAAGTCATTTTGACAGTTGTATACGTTCAAACGTTGGTGCAATAAAGAATGGAGAAAATTTGGCAAAAACAACTAATAGATATATTTATTGGATAAAATCCAAAATATTTCAAAACACTTTAAAAGGATACTTTGGTTCCTTTAATTTTAAAATGGTGTTTTTTAAAAAATAAACTTAATATTTTATAAGTATTTTAAAACATAAATATCTTTTATTTTATTTTTAAAATAAATTGTATTTACTTTGAAAATCATAAACTTCTTGTTTGAGTTAAAGTCTATTGTCATTAAACTCTTTTTTCCCAAATAATTTGAAAGGTTTTTTTTTTCCATGTATTGATTAAGAGAATAATTTCTTACTCATAATTATTGATTTTGTTGAAATATTTTTACTTAAAATTTGTTCTGAGATATTAGGGTTTAAAGTGACGTA